GAGAGAGAGAGAGAGAGAAAGAGGACGAGTTCGTCGAGAGAACGACAGAGAAAACAAGACCGAAGGGAAATAATTACCAACGTAACTCACTGCAGGTAAATTGGTTACTGTACCTGTTGTTGTTGAAAACATTAAAAACACTCTTATTCCATGCTGACACCGCTTACTGATCTCTCTTATTTCCCGCCCCTTTTCCCGACGGCCATCCGCATCGAACGCGAGCGTCGACCCTCGACCTTTTTCCCGAATCGCGTGTAACGCGTTCACCGGTGTGCTCTTAGCGCACTCGCAAATTGATATTACTAGAATTAGAACGACTGGGTGGATCGGAACGACATACGAATAGAAATAGTTCGAAAATCGATCTGCTCGGTGTTCCAGTATCCAAAGACGCCGTGTACTAATCGTGAAATTTCGCGGAGGACGCGTTAACCCGTCAGCGGCGGACGACGCACCGGTGCGTCGAGCTTTACTCGCTATTTGCACAACGAACGACCGGCAACGAAATGGTACTGGCGTATCCATCGACAAACGTAGTGGCACGCTTTCGTTCCCGTTGGTTCCTGCGCTGGAATTTCATTCGGGGAATTGAAATCTTGCGCGAAGAACTTCGTTTGCACCTGTTTCACGAAGATATGTACTTTGATTCGATTTATTAACCCTTTGCACTCGGGAGGTGACTCTCAGTCACCACTTGATTTCCTACAGTGAAGCTGTACAGTTCGATATTTAGTATTATACTTCGTACAATGCATCAATTTGAGAAATATTGATATAAAATAGCTTTGGTCCTCAATGCACGTGTGATTTCTCTTCAAGTTAGTTTCACAGAATATCCTCTTTATCTCATCAGAAAATGTTGAAATATTTCTAGTGAAAAACTGGAGTGCAAAGGGTTAATCGTTTTGTATAGAGCGACACATTCCGGAACCTAGTATGCCTAATGCGACTAGACTATCGACGTTTATAAGACATCGGCAATTTTCGAAGAGAAATATATCGACGCGCGGCGAGACCTCCAGCGCAAGAGGTTTCGCGACGCGAGGGATTAACCCTTTGCACTGGAAAGGTGACTCTCACCCACCACCTGATTTCATACAGCAAAACTATGAAGTTGAATATTCACTATTTTAAATTAAACTTTGTATTGTAATGTGAAATATTTAAATAAAATAGCTTTGTTGCTTAATTTATCTGTGAATTATCGTTAAGTCAGTTTCAAACTATGTCGTCTTCATCTCATCAGACAATGTTCAAATATTTCTACTGAAAAACTTCCGAGTGCAAAGGGTTAAGCTGTAATTGAACGAACTGACGTCGACGTGAACCTCAAACTGAGAAACCAAGGGCACTATGGACCGCAAAGGGTTAACGCCGATCGTCGAATTCACCCCCGAACATCCCTCCCTCGTTTCCCCGAAGCTCCTCCAACGCCGACGAGGAAGCACCGACACCGAGCCTTGGAACTTTCGTTAGCGAGCGAGGTGTCATTCGCGTAACGAACGTTCGATTCGCGTTGGAGACGGGTACGTAGCGTGAGTCGCGAGTAGGTGCGGCTACTAACGAAACTCGATCGAGAGAAGCGAGCAGTGATGAAAACATCGACGGAACCGCAACGGAGGTGAGTGACAATAAACGGGAAGCGAACTTTCGCGTATTGTTCCAGCGACGATTCTAGTCTCTCCGGAGTCCCGCGCGACGCACGCGCGCACGGTGGCGTCAGCGAAGCGAGAAATCGAGCGGAGAGTCGGATCGATCGAGGAAAGCATCGGAAATCGCGGGATTTCCGCGGCGAACGAGCGAGCGTGCCTATACAGTTCGAGTACCTTGTACTAGAAATCGATCGCGTTTCACTTCCGATTCAAGTCAATTTCTAGATCTCTGCGTTAGGTGACCGAACATGTGATACGACATACATATGTAATGTATATATATATGTATATATATATAAAACACACGATTCCGTTTTCGCGAGCCAGCGCGAACGCCTGTGCTCTCGAGTCCCGTAGCTAACTTTCCTAGACGACTCTTCGCGGGAGCGCGTCCCGTTGGTCTAAGGGTTGGCTTAGCGTACTCATTCACTTACTTACTTACTTAGTACTTCGATATCGAACCGTAGAAACGGGAAAGAGAGTTTCTCCGATCGCGAGCAAGTAATTATACAAAGTAGATCGTTCGTGTATGCGAAGAGACCGTAGGTTTCATTTGAGTTTGTAAGACATGCAGAGCGTAATACAGTTTTGTTTCACGTTCGATCCGTAATTTGACACGTTGCTGGTATATTCGTCTCCTTGTTCTCGACTTAGAATGGTTTGTTCCGTTGACTTTCCGTTGTTGGAACCCGACACGCGTAGAGAATCTTTGAGAAGCGCGCGCGGCTCGGCCGTCGTTCCGTCAGCTATCGAACGTTCCTTTGATTCGGTAGTTACAGAAAATCCGTTCGCCCCTTTCGGAACTCGTAGAGAACGTTGCTTCCAGTGTGTCTTAATAAAATCTACATCGAATTCCTCCGAGTCTCCTGAATGTACATTACACAGCCGACGGAACGAGCGCGACCGGCCCGCGGATGAAAATTTGAACCCCAGAGCTCCGTAACGAACCCAGACCCGAGAACCTTTGAATGAATTTGGAACTCTTCTTTGTTGTGTGCAGCATCGTAGAAACGTAGTAGACCAGTTTCCCCTTGTTTCTGACACTTAACGGCAGAGTTTGGTACGCTCTCCTAGACTAAAACATACATAGTGGCAGCTGACGTAATCATTGATGAGTTTCTTAGAAAGTCTGCGTAGACGGAGAGTAGCAGCGAGTGCGGGTGAATGAGAGTGGTGGAAACAAAGAGAGAAAGAGAGTGAGAGTGAGAGAGTGAGGTGTGTGATCCCGTGATTTTCGTCGAAGAGAATTTCGACGGTGGTTGAACCCGTAGGATGGAAAGAGAAGGAAGAAGGGGGACGCTGACGAGAGCCACCTCGCGCCCCGAGAGCATGCAACGAATTCCCAAGATTCCTGCGAGCGCGCCGATGACGCTCGATGTCGGCGAACGAAACGAAACGCGCGGAGCGGGAGAGAACCGGCGGCCGAGGCGAGCAACGATTAGAGACGCGCGCGGACGCGGAATCGTTGTCCTCTACTACTTCCGCCGGAGATCTTCGGGTCGATTTTCACGCGACGATGCGCGTGTCGCGGTAGACGTTGCTCTTTCGGAGACAGTTCATTCTTTGCCTCGATGTTATTAACACGTTGACTGCCAAGTGGACACGAGTATTTAAAATGTGCGTTCACGCGAAGCTATTCTCAAGATTGTTTGCAGTGTTAACACATTGAACACCGGCTAAACTTCAGCTACTAAAAACGCGAGCGTCGGTGATTATATCGATACACTTTTATACAGCGATTAAACCAAAATTTCTAACTTACGGAAGAGAATAAGGAATTTGACGTTGTGAATTTTACTTTGGATTTGTGTTATGCATATCTGAAATGATGCATGAACGTAGGATTAGCAATTAAACGATAGACTAAAATATCGCGGGGCCGATGTGCTAAGATATTAATCATTGAAGAAACAAATCGAAACTGTTTTGACTAGTTCTAGTGTTAACCCTTTGAACTCTGTAGGCTCCAATATTGCAGCAATTATAATATTACATATTTTAATGAATCTTAACCCATTGCTCTATGATTTACTTCTGAACCATAATCAATACAGCTACTTTATTGTTAATAATTAATTAGGAAAAGACACATATTCAGTGCTATTTCTATGTATATAATTAATCCGAACGTTACTGATTGATAACAGAAAAGTAATATGTAATTTATATTTTAGAAAATGAATAAGACTTAGATCTTTTAAATTCGGTTAAAATTTTCGTCACGAGTCTGACACGATATTGTAGGTCAAGGGGTTAAAGAAACTACCCTAAGATTCTTCGATTTTCCACACATCCAAATTTTGCGCTAAGGAGGAAAATAAAAGATCGAAGAGATATAGCATTTTTCATTTTTGCTAGGGGTACTATAAAAACTAGTTGCAGTTGCTGATAGATTACAAAACAGCCTGGAGTGCTAAGGGTTAACAAAGCAGAGTAAGAAGAGTAAGGAGTCAAGATTCTTCGTAACGGTTATCTTTCTTATATCGTACATCCGATAATTCATTTCGTTCGATGCGTCAAAATTAACGTTCAAGTTCAAAACAACAGTGTCACCGAAGCTCGAGTAACGTGGCAGTCAAAGTGTTAAATATTAAACTGCAGATCTTAACCGGTTAACTGTGTTTGACGAGTGTACTATTAATGGTGCTAACTTTCTCAACGATGGATTATTTATTTTTCGAGACAAACATGTAACGCTTCTTCGTTTCGCTTTAGCTTTTCGTGAGGATATATTTTAACTGCATTCGGCCTGCATTTAACGAATATATATGAGAGATTTTTCAAACTAAATCCCACACTTAACTGGTTAATAGAGATACAAACTCTTCATGCGGTAGATCCTTCTCTAAAGAAACACCATAAACAGCTCTAAAGTTCGGATATTACAGTTCTCCGTTCCTTCCTCGCAAGTCTGCACTTTCTAGTTTCCCACGAGAAACCCGCAGCCCGATTATTAGATATAATAAACCTAGATACACTCTCGGAGGTCGCATTACCGCGAGATTCTAGCGATCAATCCAGTATCCGAGTGCAAAGTCTGCGCTATCGCGTCACGAGTTTCCGCGGAATGGATTGCAGAGCTTCTGAATTGCGTATAATGAGGCGATTATCTCGATACGTGCATCGTCGTGCGAGACCGGGCACGCCCAATTTTTCCTGCCCGTCGATCGACTGCGATCTGGCCTAGTTCGAGCAACGGCGAGCCGAAGTAGCAACGCCGACCTACGTTCCGAGATATCGATCGGCAACCACGAAAGTTCGCTCGGACGAACTTCGGCCGCTCGCTGTCCTCCTCGAGAACCGATCGTCCCGAAGAGGAACGCCGACGAGGAATCGTTCGTGAATCGGCGACGCGTGGCCCAACGAACGACAGCTGAAGGGCAATTCTGGCGTGCGCCTGTGTTTTCGATTGTTCGCCATGGTACGCCGAATCTTGGAGGGAGGAAATCGTTTTGCAAGGAGGAACGAGGACCAGGCGAACGATCGGAAGAAGACATTTCCTCGACGAATTCCCGGCCGCGGCGGGCGTATTTTGTTACGTGTAGCGTTCGGCGATTAATCGAGCATTACCTCAGGTATCAGGTGACCGTCGCTGGTGTCTTTCAACGAAAAATCGAGAACAGCGTTTAACACGTTGAATGCCGCGCGATTTCATAGTATAAAATACTTGAAACGAAAAGAATATGATAGTAAATCATTTGATTGAATTTCATTGTTACTATTGCAGGTTCGTCTAGCTGAATGTCACCACATTGGTTATCGTTATTTATAATATTGAAATGTTTTCGAATAATCACGGTTTAATTCAGTGAACTGTAGTAATTCGATTTGAGTCACCGGTGACCCCCATAGCATTCAACGTGTTAACGCTGAGCGATCCTTGACACGTTGGCGATCGCTTTGAGATCGGCGATGGACGGCGAAAGCAGTCGAGATTTCGTTTCATCGGAATACAATTATATTCTTTTGTTTGTAATCCTAATATAACGGATGGACATTCATAATAAAAATTCGTGCGAACGTTTCTTCCATTTCCAAGATAATAGAAATGAAAATCAACAGTCCGAAGGAAGATAGATGATAACGCATTGATCGCCGGCCGATTTTTAGTCTATCGTTTAATTGCTAATCCTACGTTCGTGTAACATTTCAGATATGTATAACACAAATCCAAAGTAAAATTCACAAAGTCAAATTCCTTATTCTCTTCCGTGAGTTAGAAATTTTGGTTTGATCGATGTTTAAAAGTGTATCGATATAATCACCGACGCTCGCGTTCTTAGTAGCTGAAATTTAGCCGGCGTTCAACGTGTTAATTCGATTCTACGAGCCGATACACAGGCAGTATAACGAAAAACGCTCGCCACTTGATCCACGTGTCTCATTGCAATTGCTGTCAACCGATTCGGCGATCAGCGCGTCAACGCGTCGAAGATTCCTCCGGTTGAGCCCGCGCGCGATCAGCGTTCTTTCCTCCATGTTCCACGGAGTACAAAGTCTGTACATATTGTAAGTGTCTCGTCACTATCGTTACCGTTAATGTACCTACGTGTAAGCAGCGTTACCAGTAGACTGCGGATTTTGTGCATTTAGCAGCGAGTAGAAGCGTCTAACAGCGAGAACATAGACAGTTCCACGCGATCTCCTTTTTCTATCGTTCCCCGAGCACCGCGACGAGAAACAGGGAGTCCCCGAGCAAAACGGAGCGAACGTTTCTAGAAAAATTCGCAGTTCGTCGAGACGCACTCGCGAGATTTCTAATTGTAGTCCAGCCTCTAGTCGCGTCGAGAGCCGCGCGCCTAGGAACAAGCCAGCCGCCGGCGGAGGTCAAGGGTGCGCCTCCTTTTCCGTGATTCGCCAATGGAAGCTCGGCCCGGGAAACCGGAAACCTGCGATATTATCGCGTTCGGCGTGGATTGCGAGGACCGAAGAGGGAGCAGCGGATGAACCTCTTCTGGACGAAGGAGCTCGATCAAAGGAGAAAGAGGAGAAAGAGGAAGGATGCCGGACCTCTCCCAAGGAACCCGGAACCGGAAATTAGCGGGTTTCTCGATCGCCGAACACTCGTATCGTTCCGCAACGATTCCTCGGTACCACCCTCGTTCTTCTCGCCCCTAGCGATAACCAGAATTTTAATTTATTATTCTTACCACCGTTATTATATGCATTCGAATCTGTAAAGCAGTCTGTCTTGTGTCGCAACCCGAGCCCCGTCTTCCTTCCGCGTAGAATCTGTCCCCGATCTACGCTCGGGAAACCAGATTTCCCGTCTAAATAAAAACGACTCGAGATAGGGAGACGCTACGCGGAGCGTTTAGCCCGGCGGCGTTCGGGGGTTCCGCGGTTGATCCGTCTGCGGCTGAACGGACAGAGACGGAGAGAAGGGAAGAAAGGAAATCGATATCGGGACCCCCCCAAGGGCACGCGTTATGTACGCCCCTGTCGGGTAAATTGCGGCCGCCCTGGGAAAAAAGCCAGCCCGGAAATTTCGTCGTATCGTTTCCCCGATCCCGCCTCGAGAAATATTAGGAAGTATCCCGTGGCGTGTGTCCGACCGCCGCAGCCGCGCTCTTACGGGGGGAATTGATTTTCCTCCCGTGTGCCGCACGGAACGAACGTCTGCCGTAAGTTCCTCTTCGGCTGGAGCTTTCCGAAAGCTGCCCCTCGGTTCTCCTCGAGGCGCAACGCCGTGCGCGTCGGGTAGCCTCTAATAATCGAACTGCCGGCAGTCAAATTTTACCGTTTCCTCTGGAGACTTTGGGAAACACTTTAGAGAATTTTCCGAGTTCGGGCTAACGGCGTTTACTTTTCTTGAATTTGGATTAACACTATTCCCACCGCGCAACTTATATTTTCTAATATAGAATGAAGATAATAAATAATAAGAAAAGGTGTGAATATTGAAAAATGTTTTATACATATTCTAGGAAAAGTCGTGAAGTATAGAGGCGATTCAATTGCGTTGTCTATAGGAAATTCTAATCGAAATTTTAAATACAGTCGTTTGACTGGTCGCGGTGGGAATAGTGTTAAATATTAGTTTCGTGTTATCGATCGTTTACCTCTGGAACAAGCGGAGACGGAGGAATTAACCGTTCGAGTGGCAAGCGTTCGATGTACTAAAAGCAGCCTATCGGTTAGAATCAAATGAAGTTTACTTATTCGTCTTGCTAATTAGTTACGCTTGTTATTGACTGCTTAGAAATAGAATCACGCTGTTTCGATTTGTTTGCGTGAAAACGGAATAGAAACCGTGAATAGAAAGCGAAGTCTCGTGCCACTCAGGCGGTCAACTTCCTTTTCCTAATGAATCATTAACGATGAAGTAGCTTCGTCGAGTTGAGTTTCGGAAGAAGTCAGGACAAGGGGTGAGATCCACAGAACAACGTCAGAATTCGATTACCAGCCGAAGCGTTACAGCGAAAGAGCGTCTAACATGTCGGAGCAAGCTACGTTAACGCCAAATTTGCAAATATTTATTCTACACATTGTTCCATCGCTCCTAGAAGACTACATATTCGTTCCTATAGCTCGCAGAATTTAGATTTTCAAAATTAGAGAATCACAATGCATATTCGTGTAATTTCACCAATGAAAATCGACTCGAATCGTTACGAGATAATGTCTGAACTATCTTAACCCATTCGCTGCCAAGACGAGTATACTCGTCCTACTTTCAATATGTTACATACACGCTTCTGAATCAGCAAATTTCGAGTCCCGTTGCCTTCCCATTGCCAACGACCAGTACACTCGTCTTTGATTTTACGCGTGTAAATGATTATGTGCGATAATACATGTGCTTTCACCAAGAAATAACAGAACTTCGGTAAACAATACCACTCAAAACATAAATGGCAATGGGAATAGCTTCATACAATATAGGCTTGGCAGCTAATGGGTTAACAAGTATGAACGCGGCCTAAAGGACACCGCGACGGCGAAACGATGCCCCGTAATTCGATAGCATAAGTTCGCTCAGGGCATTTATATCCTCCCCCTTTTATATCCCGCTCCATCGGGTAATATCGCAGCGACGCGATACTCGGAGAAGACGGCCCACCATATTTTCACCCCGAAGATGCGAGCCGGGGGATTGCGAGAGACATTTGCACGCGCCCTCCCTCTCGATGGTGTATCGCGCTCTCACCCCTCGGACGGGACATGGGGCTTTCGCGCGCGACACGGGAGCCGGCGCTGGGAAATGGATATATTAGACTGCCGGTCGCGAGTAGATCGCGAAAATTCTAGCTTCGAAACCAGAGCAACTGCTACCGAATAATATTTAACCCTTTGCACTCGACGACATTTTCCAGTATAAACGTACATTATTTTCTGACGGAGTATCGTGACTCTTGGTGATTTCCTTTGAAACAAGTCGATCTGGAGTCGATGCGGTTAAGTCTAGACGAATTGAGAGAACGTTTCGGCTACTGAAATTTTTGTACTACATATTCGGGAGTTATAGGAGAAAGTGATTTCTGATGTAAGGAACGAAGACACGGGTGAATCTTTGATTCAGTAAAATTGAATTTATATCTGAATCTTTGATTCAGTGAATTGTTATTTATATATTAACCCTTAGCACTCCAGGTTGTTTTGTAATCTATCAGCTAACTACTTTTTATAATATTCCTGGCGAAAATGAGGAATGCTATAACATTTCCTCGATCTGTTATTTTCCTTGGTACAAAATTTGGATGTGCGAAAAATCGAAGAATTTCAGGGTAGTTTCTTTAAGATTCATTAAAATATTTAATATAACCGGTGCAATATTGGAGCCTACAGAGTTCAAAGGGTTAACCGTATTATTTGGAACTTACATAGTCTTGCATAAATTCAGAATTGTTTTATTTCTGCTTCATGCGCCGGTACCTTATTCATCCTTTCATGTTGAATTTTCAATTTGATAATCTTACATTCAATCAAACGACCATTGAGTCACCTCACGAGTGCAGAGGGTTAGAACATTCAATACCCGTGAAATCGTGGGCTCCGTAAATCTACTGTCAACGAGTGCAGTTGACGAGGTAATTACCAAGATTGCATCGGAACGGATTCACGGGTCGCAGAAGGGTTGTTCCAACGTGCCCGACAAGCGGCCTCGCGAGCGAAGGTAATCGGAAACGGAGGAAAAGTTCCTCGTTGTCCCGTTAAGCGTAATTGACGCGCGAGGGGCGGGCAGCGTTTCGTGCGCGGCGTGCCGAAAGCTATAAATAAAGCATGGAGGTCAGCGATGCGGCCGAAGAAAGGAAAAAAGGAGGAAGAGGTGGGCGCGCGTGGAGAACGCAAAGGACAAGGGGTGGAAACGTTCCCTCGGACGGCGAACCCTCCGTTTCCCTCGTGCCTCCTCGCGATCCCAACTTCCGGCGTTCCTCCGTGCGTCGGAGGAAAAGGCGCGCGTCACGGAACGCGGTCACGCGAACCCACGATCGCTGCTAAACGTATTTCTCCCTTTTCTTATTTATTTACCGCCCGCGCGCGCGGCGGGAAAAGCGGATCCACGACGGGGGAAACTTCGCTGCGAACTTGTACGCGCCGTGGATTACCGGCGTCAAGGTAAGTGAAGATTCCATTACGTTTCTCCGCGCGGCAACACGCTAAGGGCGGAGGTCTCGCCTCGCTTTCGATTTTGCGTAAGTGAGCAAACTTGCACGTAAACAACGGACGTAACAAACTCCTTCATTCGTGATAATTGGAGGGAAGTGAATCGAAGGAAATGAGCAGGTTTCTTAATATCATACGATTGATTAAATGATATAAGTATTGAAAATTCAGCGGATTTTAACCCTTCGCTAGGGAGTTTCTCGCTAGAAATATTTAACATTTTTCGACAAGACGAAGACGATGTTCTTTGACACTAACTCACAGGGAATCACAAGTACATTGAGGAACACAGCTATTTTGTTCGAATATTTCATATATCGGGTCATTGTACAAAGTGAAACGTTACATATAGATTTTATAGTTTTACTGTGTCAAATTTAGTGGTGACTGAGAGTCACCTCCCGAGTGCACAGGGTTAAAAACTCTGCCTTCTATTGTTTATGTAGAGAAGCTTGCTAAATAACGAAAGTGGGAGATCTCCATCGGCTAGGTGTTAACCGTTCGAGTGCCACGGGTTTTCCACAGAAGCTTCAGCTCGGAAACTGAAGCGACGCTTCTCTATTCCGAGAATAATTAGGACGGATAAACGGAGTTTGATTCTACGAACCGATAAGCTGACACTTTTAGACAGCGCAACGGAGAACGCTTGCCACCCGAACGGTTCAGGAAGAAAAATAAGAAGCAATTACGCGGGGAACGTGTTCGCCGGGAGGATAAGTGGCGAGAACGGCGTCCAAAGATGCAGCAGGCCGGCTCGGAGGTTCCTCTGAATTGTCCGAAATAAAAAGTTCGATCGGTCGATCGTTGCGGGGTATTTTTATCTTGGCCTGTCCGTGCCTTAGCTTGGGCATAAAATTGCATTACTTAAGCGAACCGGTGACCGTAAGTAGCCTCCGTTCGCGGGCCGGTATTAGCTTAAGGGGAAGTGGAGCGATTCATAAGGGTGGCTGGCCACCCCCTTTCGCGCGATTTATCGCAGTTTTACTGCCAGTCGCGAGCCATTCGCCGCAGATTCCGCGCCGTTTCATCGCGAGTCGCTCGCGACGTGTTCGACGCACAACCGCGACGAAAGAGGAGCGTCCTGTTTCGAGACGAAGTCGAATTGCATTGATCTTCGGTTCTTAATGCGTTAAGCGCTACGAAGATCTTGGCTGTTCCTCCGTAGAGTTATTCCGTTGTAGCAAAGAAATGCAATTATTAATTATTCGCCGTTGCAATCCTTGCAGCGCGCTATTATCAACTTACGTTATTAACCCTTAGCAGTCCTATCTCGAGTCAGACTCTACATTCTATTTTACTGCAATCTCTACCTTTTAACAATTTTTTCTATATTTGTAATATCACAATTGTACCATTTAATGGTAACATTTTAACTCCAAAATATTCTTGAATAAATAAATAGAGCGTCATATTAAGCTGTAATCGAATGAACTAACGTCGACGTGAACCTCAAAGTGAGAAACCAAGAGCACTTCGGACCGCGAAGGGTTAACCATCGGTTATCTTGCACGATACGATTGTTTCCAAGTAACTGAGAAGCGTCATTAACACATTGCGTACCGGTAACGAGAAATCTCGTTTTTATATAAAGACACTTAGCTATGCAACTTCGCTAATTACCACAGCATTGAAAAAATTTAAAATTCGAATTGATTATCTATTTAAAATATATTACATAACAATATGATATCTGAGTTTTTCTATGTATAGTGATATAAGTTGACCTCAGTGAAAATTGCTATCCGCACAACTCAGTTTTCTAAAAATTAGCCGGTACGCAATGTGTTAACTGACACGGCGCTTAACGCGTTCACCTTCCTCGTTCTACCGATTCTCGTCGTTTGTCAAACCGTGCACCACGTCCCCCGCCGCGTTTGCCCGTCGAAGAAGCGAAAATGTATCGTCCGTGGACAGCACGTCGCGAGCATCGATCCGTTTGCACGTCAAACAGCGCGCGGCAGGAAAAAATGAATACACGTCCGAGGGATCGTCGGGGAAACAAGGGAGGCGCGATATTCATTTAAGGAACGCCCGTAATTTCGGGGCGAGTCCCGGGGAGCGACACACGGCCACCTAATATTCCGTGAACGTCGGTCCGGGGAGCTTTCCGTGGATTCCTTTATCACTTTGCCGGCCGCGAAGTATTCAATATAACCGGCTGCATTATGTAGCGAGTTGGACAAGCTCTTCTCCGCGGCGGGCTGGGCCGGGAAGCGCGGCGGAAGCCGGGGGAAAAAAGTTGAGCGAGTAAAGTACACCGGTTGCTCGGCTCGCATTTCAACTAGCGAAAGCCACGGAGGCCCGTGGCGGTTTGCCTGCGCTCTCCCTCTGGCCCCACGTGGTTCCCGGCGTCGACGGCCGACGGACGACGGGAGGAACGCAGAGATACGGAGTAATAAAGCGCCGCGCGCGAGAATGCCGGGACGATAAGGCCGTTTTCATGCGACCGACGTCGGACGTAAAATTTTATTCGGGTAACGAGTGATAAATGGTTAATCGCTGATCGGTTATCTTCTGTCCGATTTTCTATTCGATTAGTTCACCTTCGTACGGGAAACGTTGATCGTTGCAGTGATCGTTTATTCGCATTTGCAGATTTCGTTGATAGCGACAACTGCGCAATTTGACCTATCGCCTTTCGTTCTAGGAGCAATGTCTTTACACAATTTTCAAGCTGAACTAAATAGAGTGAGAGAAACTAGTTAAGTCGAGACGAGAAAAATTGAGGAAATTAACCCTTTGCACTCCAGAGGCGCCTCTAAGTCATCAAATGATTCGACACGGCGAAACTGTAAACTTTGATGTTTAATATCAAACTTTGTATAATGCATCGATGTACGAGATATTGAAAGAATCTTCTCGATGCATGTGAGATTTCTTAATTCAATCTAAGAAAATGTCGACTGCATCTCATTAGAAAATATTGAATATTTCCGGTGGAAAACTTCTGGAGTGCGAAGGGTTAATGTTTGGCTTCTGAAGTTACTGTGCAACGTATTCGGAAGTTACAAAGGAGAAGGACTTTCCGATTTAGAAGAAACGGAGGGGATTTAAGATTCTATCCAGTCGATCGGCGGATTTCCACGGGACTCGTTAAAAGTCTAACCGATCGGAACTAGTTTACGATTTAATTCCGCGTTCGATCGTTTCCCTGCGGTGGCCGGGAACGGTTTGTCGCGCGTGGGAGGCGGCGTTTATTTTTCAAACATTTAGGGGGCGGATAGGCGAATCGTGACGGGACAGCGGCTGCAGTGGTCGTCGTTTGCCATCCGTTTCCACGGCGAAATGCACATTCGCAGTAACTCGTTTCAGACTGCTGATAAATAGTTCACTCGTTTCGCCGTAGTCGAGACGACGGGCTCGAGAAAGAGGAAAGAAAGGCCGAGAGACACTCCGCTCGAGTGCGCCCAGCGTAAAGGACGAGCGACCCGGTAAAGAGATACGGAGCTTGAATCTTTGATGTCCTCGGGCCGTGGCTGACTGCCGTCGCGCGAGACGCTGTTATTCTTTCGCGTTTGTGCGCCGGGGACGCCATCTTGTCGGGGCCGGCCCGTTCGCCCGCGATTCCACGCGTTGCTACGCCGTTACGAGCTAATCGGGGAATCGAATAACTTCGGTTCTTCGTTTATGTGTTTTAACCAGTTAACTGTGGAATTTAGTTGGGAAAACCTCTCGTTCTGCACGCAATAAAATCGAAAAATGGTGCGTGTACTCGTCGAGCGCAAGACGAGTGCGCGTAGAGTATATTTCAATGAAAGATCACAGCGAAATAAAGAAGAATTACATGTTTATGTGAAAAAGTATAGAATTCATCGCTAAAGAACTAGTGTCATGTCAAGCTTTACGATGACGTGTATACTCGTCAAACACAGTTAACTGGTTAACCCTTCGCGGACGAATGTCGACATTTCGGCGAGATGAAACGTTCATATTTGAAAAACTAAGTCGCAGGCAAATGATTTAATTACTCGGATAGCGAGAGATTAGTATGTAGTTCCTGTTTTTTATTATTTAAGCAATCAATATATAATTTAGCTTCATCCGTTGAAGGTTTTCTACCTTTCAAAGAATTCCGCAAAGGGTTAATGCAACTCGTTAGTTGCGAAGAACGTAATGCGTATCTCATTGCGAAATGATTATCTCTATTGAAAACCTCTCGAGAGCAAAGCGTTAACTCTTACGGTTTCTATTCACGTATCGAGGGAACTCTATTGTAACTTTATTTCGTAATACGTTCCATTTGGAATTTAGTACGCTAAGGGTTGAGCTGGATGTCCATTCCACAACGTAATCGACGCGAGTTGCTCTCGAGATCGATCCTTGCAATTAGACGTTACGTCGAGAGCGACTCTCTAAGATGTTGATCTCACCGTCGCTCTCGACAGAGTATCCGCTCGGAAAAAATGCTGTCGAACGCTCGCGATAGTTTTCCCCTCGAACGGACGCTCGACTTTAAACCGTGAAAACTCGGAGAAAGAAGAAAAGCGAACGTCGACGGCCTCGAGGACTCGTTTGCCACGCGGAGCGGGAAATTAATTGGGAGGAAAAGGAATTAGGACTTCCAGGCTTGATTCCCCTTCCAGCTCGTTCCATTTCTCGCGCTCGTTCTCGCGGAAACAAGGTGGGGGCGCCATGGGACTCGGAAGATTCTCTAGCATCCCAGCAAACAAACAACCCTAAGAAAAGATTTCGACGAAATGAACCGACGTAATCGTCGAAGGTACTTTATGAGTTAGTATAATTTCGTGCATCTGTACATCTTCTGTTTCCCTCTGTTTTCCTTATTCTTTGGATTTGTATTCCAACCGATTCTCCCATGAAACGAATAAATAACGCTTTAACCGAATGGTTCTCCAATATTTCATCTGTGTCCCTTCAATTGCCTACCTTCAGTTGAGTCGCTCAGAAGCCAATATGTGCATTCTAATCAAATAAACAGTGTTCTTTCTAATTCAAGAATTTACTCGCGAGTATCTTTCCTAGTTGAGAAAGCCCTACTTTTTCTAGCTTCTGAATACGTTGTTAATCATTTCGGAAGCCAAAACACGAATTTTCTCAATTTTCCTTTTCTACGTTTAAACGCATCGGCTTCTGAGCGACTCCATTATCAAGAAAGAAATCACAGGAAAGCATCGATTCCCGAAAGAAAAGGCTGAAGAAACGCCGGGGACGCGCGAGTTCGGCGCCAGAATGCAGGCAACCAGCGCCGCTTGTCCGCCGCGGGAACTCTTAAGGGGCCACGGCCGCATGGATCCAAGGGGAATGGGAAGAAACGAAACAGACGAGCGCACAGTGCGGCCAGACGGCCGTTTTCTGAATAAAACTCGATAACCTCAAAAGTATGAGTGATAGAAAAAAATGGTTCGGACAAAAATTGCAAGGTATAGAGCCAAGCATACGCTGGTTACACTGTTGTCTCCATTATGGGGATATTATGAGGTTTTTCCAGTGACAATCGACGCTTCACGTTTCGATTCCAACGTTAGAGAGACAGAGAAACGGAATTGCCTTGCACGAAATGATTAATTCTGCAATGAAAATCGTTTTCTATGGAGACTACTTTAGCAGCAGATCGGTAACCTTCAATTTTCGTTATGCGAGTGGTCGAACTTTGCGGTTCCGCCCGCAGGCGGCCTGCCGAATGATTTAAAAATAAAGTTGGGCGCGATACCGCCTCCGCCGGGTGTACGTCGCGCTCGTAACGGGTGCTCTTACCCCGATTGACTCGCGTTCGTCGGAATACACCGGGGACCAATTAATCCGAGACCTTCTCGCGATTAAAGGTTTATGGAAAAGCTGCCAGCTGCCCGGGCAGCAGGTCTGCGGTATCGATTTCACGGAGAAACGACAAAAATAAAGAACCAGCTTTTACGGACGCGTGGCTGGACAGGGAGATTGTTTGCCCGCGCGGAGGAGGAATCGGAGAACTTTAACCCTTCGGCTAGAATGTTGCGTCAGCGCGTATTTCTAAGAGAGCGTGTTCAAACCATGGAAACACTGAATTGAGCGGTACACCGAAGGCAAACTTTTCAAGCGCCGACAGCAGCTAAGGGATTAATATCACCCGTCGTCCGGTCGATTTATATTGGACTCCGGAAAAAGGAAATTACGCGTTGATCTATAGTTCGAGCAGCTAGGTTACTTGCTCGCGATTAATCGAGTCGCTCAGACGCTAACGTTAGCTGATTTCTCGAAATCTTAATGGAACGAGTAGTATTCTCTTTAGTTATTCAAGGATTCACCCGTTTCTTCCTCGGTGAGAAACTTCCCTTCTTTCGACAGTCTACTTTTTACGATCGATTAGAGAAAGGTATCGAACCGATTGCTACGTGCTTCTGCTACGACTCAATCAGGAGTGTCCGCTGTGAAGGGACGAAGTCATCATCATTCTAAAGCATCGCCGGTAGATCCCGGAACTCGGAGACGCCCTTAACGCGACCGCGGCCGTACGGATACAACTCGTCGCCGAAAGTCCGGCTCACCCCTCGTCCTTCATCCAATGGCCTTGTGCTTACGCGGTATCGATCACGTGGCCACCTAGTTGATTCCGTACGCTCAGGCTGATCCTCCTGCGCCCCTCGGAACGGGGAGTGCCGCCACCGTGTGTCCCTACAGCCCGACACACGAGCCGAGCCTACCGCGCCTCGTTTCCTCGTTCCCTTGTTCCCTTGTTTCCCTGTTTTCCTGCTTTCTCTGTCGCGCTCGGACTCGTCCCGATCGAAACCGCACGCGTTGCGTCGCCGAGTTTCCTTTTCTTAGCCTCCTCTCGCGTGTCCCCAAACTTCGCTAATAGGAGGCACGCAGAGGGTCCGCTAAGTTCTGCGACGAGGCATTGTGTGCCACTTCAAACGAGCTAGCCGTGGAATACCTCCGGCTACTCGTGTCCTTGTTTAGAGAGTAAAGAAGGGAAGCTTGTATCTGGGGTGAACACACGGGAAAACTCTACTCTTGTCTTTCGACGAGTCCCCGTTACCGAGGATCTTCCTTGACGATTTTCTGGGCTGAACTTAGCTCGTGATCATTGTCTATCGGGAAGGATGCGTTTCGTGAGTATGGGACACATTGTATAGCATTGCGGTGACACGTTTAATTGACGTAGCCTCGGGCCCGCGATGCGACCGTTATCGACAGAGGTAAGTATTCTGAGACTTGGAGCTGTTGACTCGAGAATAAAGTAGAGAGGGAATTATTCAGGGGAATTAGAGTTTCTTGCTGCAGCGTAGTTTAGCGCGGTTCGGAGCTCGTATCGAAAGACCGGCGAGTAGAAACGAACGATGTCTGGCGAAGACGACCGGCGATCGCTTTTGTTCCTACGTTTCTTATCTGCGTAATCGACGTGTCGCGGTCGGTGCATAGAGTAATGAATATTCTTACCGACCAGTTCTTCCTGATTCTTTTCGCGGTAAAAAGGTCAAACTTTGGCACGTCCTCGACGCGGCGCAAACGCGCGACGAGACGCGGCGGTACTCTCAGCTGACCAACCATGTCTCCTCGGGGTCTGCAATAAACGAGAATCAAACGTGCGGCAACTCTCGCGCGGAGGATCCACGAGAGGATAGATTTCTCCGCGTTCGATCCGGTAATTGATAACCTACTGTAAAGAACGTCGTTGGGAAAGATGATCGTGACAGTCGCTGCGGTGTTCCGCGAATGTCATCGCGGATACGTTCCGCCCGTCATTTGTCGGTGCTCCCGCTTCCATTGGAATCGCTGTTTCCGCAGGAAACAGGTAAGTAAAGTCTATTCGTTCATCGGAACTGATTGGAAACCGCAGAATTGATAATTCTTCGATTAATCCAACGACGCGTGCACCGATAAACCGTACAAACCCTGAAACGGAGGGAACCCATTCGCGAAAAGCGTCGTTACACATTTGCCACGCTTCTCGTGGACGAATAAGAAACTGCGATGATAAAAAGAAATTATTCACGAGTGCAAAGTGGAGCGAGCCTCCTGGCGGAATATACTATTAAATATTTACCACCTGATCGCACGTGACCAATAAAAGCTTACACAGGACGAATCTCGAGGCGGTCGATGTTCCTGCGCGTATTTCTTCGCGAAATTCCCTCGGAATTCCTTCGAAATTCTCGGAAAACGTACGGATCGGCTTCCCCGGTGAACGAGGAGGAAACGAAAAGTGAGCGAAACGAAAGATACGACCGCCGCCGCCGACGGTTTCCATTCTTTTCCGAATCGCGGAGGGGTAGCGACTTTTCACCGGTTCCCAATTGAGAACCCCTGCCGCGGAGGACTCGCCGAAATGGGAGGATTTTTGGGAGCATGGAAAAAGAGCGACGGCCGGGAAGCACCGCGGAAAACGAGACACGCAGGTTCGCTCGGTTATTTTCGCCAGGAATTTCTGTCAAGTTGGAACGTTCGCCGCGATGGAGGACGAACGGAAAGGGAAAGTTCGGTGCGTAGACCGACGCACGGTGAGCGACATAATGCGTCCGGCCGCACGTGTCACCCTTCCACGACAATAGGAGTAGACAGTCGACTTTCGAGCACTGCCAAGAGGCGGAGTTGTCACGCTGGCCAGGTTTGCGACAGGTTACCGAGCAGTTTTGGCAGGCCGCACGCCGAGAACCGATCCGGGAGAGTCGGGCTCGCGAATCCGCGAAATTAATGTCGCGGCCCGATGAGAGAAGGGAGAGGCTGACAGTCCGGGGAGAAGGTGAAAGTGAGAACCGTTCGCAGGCATAACCTAAAAATAAGTTGTACGCGCGGTCGCTGTACAGCAGATTTCGCGGGGGTTTACGAACGCTGTGCATTGCTTTTAGGTAAACGTCTGACATGATCGTGCCAGAGCTGTTGCCCTGTTAACGAATGATTTTACGAGATCGGAGAAAGTATGGAGACGTGCAACGAAGGGGGCGACCGGACCCCGTCTGTCACTTCGGTAACACGAAAAACTTGGTCGGAACTGAGAGGTGTCGTTAGCGATCTACGCAGAAAATTGTCCGGGATATCGGCCGTTTCTGTGCCCGGATCTATAACGTTTCGATCCTTACCCGATGGACGGTAAGAGATATTCTTGAACATTTCACCTAACCTCAATCTATGCGCTACCTGATCCCCTTTATGTGCCGAGCTATTCATGAAATCTTTGTTGTACACGCGTGGAATGCAGTGTATTGTTGTAATTAATATGAAGTTCTTCCTTTAGGACTAGAATATATTTTCTTGGCAGCCTTAGCAACAGATGGGAAACTACGTTGTTGTCTGTGGACATTTTCCCTTTCGATCTGCCTAACGGTTACTTACTTCACTGGCAACCTGTTATAGAAGCAAATTTTCAAACGTAATGTAATTCTTCTTTGAGAAAGTCAGGGTGGCCTTGTTATGGTTTGGTGGAACCGTTCTTATTTCATTGCAGCGTATCGAGCACTAAAATACTATCGAGAGAAGAACAGCTATTATGGGAGAGGAAGAGATTAGTTACGTGCGGCATTACCAGCTATGAACTACATCCGGATAGCGGGAAGCTAGTTTTTCCAGCTGCTAGCAGCCTTTACCAATGTATAGACACAGGATTTGTGGTATCCATTATTTTTCATTTGTAAAGTTAGAAGTTTGCGATTGGAACAGGAGTAACGCAAGGTCTTTTCCTTGTTAGGCTGGGCCTCTTTTTCCATCTGAGATTCGTGCATCTACATCCCGTGCAAAACTGTGTCCACAAATCTGCCCATGGAACAATGCGTTAATTGCATATACTTGTTCAGGAGATCTGTATTTATCCCATAGTATCACGGGATCTTCGTTAAGATTGACTCATGCCAGAAAAGGTGGTAGAAATTTAACGGACGACCCTCTTACAGCAGGCACTCCGTCTTATGTAATGCAAGAAGAATTTGCTAGGTGCGTGTAATAATTAGACTTAGTCTAGCAATAATGTGGCAGAACACGTATTTCATTCGTGTACACCGCTTGCGTTTACGTAGGTACGTCGGTTACTGGTGGCAGCCGAAGTCCAACGACGGCATTTATAGAATAGTCTACGAGGAAGTCGATGAAAGCGATGTCAAAATTTTTTGTTTCCCTTCTCCGTCAAACTCCGAAGAGATAGACGAGTTCAGATTTCCCAGAGCCGGCACATGCAACGCGAAGAGTAATCTGAAAATGGTGCAATTCCGATTAACGGAAACGTTACAAATAGTCAACATTGATATCCTGGAACTCCAACATTCGTTGCATATTATGTTCCCCTGGATGGAGTACATGGTCAGAGTAGGATGGACTCCTGACGCGCAATAGTAAGTGAAAAATATCTTGTTTTTCCCATACTCGTCGGACCTAATCATTTCTGTAATGTCATGTACAAATATAGCGTCTGGGTGCAGCTGTTGGATAGGAAACAGCAAAGGCTCGAGTTGGTTTTATTATCGATAGATAATTTTTGTGAACCACCCCCGAATGTATATAATTGGGAAAATCACTTCACACCACCGACGGCGAGTGTTCAGGTGATATACTCTGAACAGAGTCCGACTTGGATCAATCTTAACGATCTTCTTTATTTCTTGCCATCCGACAATCCAACGGAAGTGAAATTCCTCTGGGGTAGCGAGGAATCTAACTTCCGGCATCTGTATCTCATTACGTCTAAAATATCAGGTGAAATACTCGTGATTAAACTCTCGTCTGATGTAACAATGTTTTATTAATAATAATGTATTCATCTGTTTTTCTTTGCTGGAAGGCATAAACAATGAAGTGGAGGAACCGTTAGATAGTATAGTTAGTATCTTCTTGCAACCACGAGTTACGTCTAAAGTTGCTTTAACCCAGGGAGATTGGGAGGTGCTAGGCAAGAAATTGTGGGTAGACGAAGCCAACTCCATTGTTTATTTTCGTGGGTTGCGCGACGGTCCACTGGAGCAGCATGTTTACGCTGTATCCTTGAATCGACCGTTGGAGGTAAAGCTACTCACAACGCCGGGTTACAGTTACAACAGCATATATTTTAATAAGGAATGCACAATGCTAGTGGCCGTGTATAGCTCCATCAAGACTCTACCCACCTGTCAGGTATGATTGATCTACTTATAACAACGAAATTTAAGATAATTCTGCTGTTAATTCGATTCTGCAGGTATTCAAAATAACGCAAAAAGATTGGACAGTGGATAGCATCTGTTTAACCCCCGTTGGATATTTGCTAGAACCATCGTCTCCCGAATCGGAATTATTCACTCCGGAGATTTATACGCATAAAATATCATCCGGCGACATAATCTATTCTATGATCTTTAAACCACATAGCTTTCAACAAGGCGTAAAATATCCTACGATACTGAACGTTTACGGTGGCCCCGAAGTACAATTAGTATCAAATACATTCAAGGTGAGTATTAGGAAACAAGGAAATTAAGTGTTGTATTCTTCATGCATGCTGATTTATTGGTGTTTATTTTTATAGGGAATGAGACATTTGAGGATGCATATGTTAGCTGCTCAAGGTTATTGCGTGGTATTGATTGATAACCGCGGTTCCCATCACAGGGGTTTAGTGTTTGAGAGTCATTTGCAACACAGATTGGGAACAGTCGAATTAAGTGATCAAGTTGAAGTACTGAAGTGGTTGGCGGAAACAACTGGTTACATTGATCTAAACCGCATAGCTCTTCATGGCTGGTCTTACGGAGGATATTTGAGCCTTATGGGCTTAATACAATACCCTGGAGTGTTCAAGGTACGCTTTTCTTGGTTTTTTTTTCTTTTGGAAACAATTTAAATGAACACTGTACATTATTGTATACATTCGAATGTAAATTTTCAGTTGGCTATCGCTGGTGCTCCGGTTACATCTTGGAACTTTTATGATACCGGATATACTGAACGTTACATGGATTTGCCACAAAATAATCCTCATGGTTACATGACTAGTTCAATCCTAACTTACGTGGATAAATTCCCCGACGAGGAGAATCGATTATTGATCATTCATGGACTCATCGACGAGAATGTGCACTTTTTTCATACAAGTCAATTGATCGATGCACTCGTGAAGTCTGGGAAACCATATCAATTGCAAGTCTACCCCAACGAAAGACATAGCCTTAGAAGTTTAGATTCTAGTAAACACTACGAGACCACACTATTATTTTTCTTACAAAATCATTTGTGAATTCGTTGCTTCCGATCAAGTATAAAGTGATAAACATTGGTTAAAACAGAATTTTATCACGTCAAGCGTGACTGCCATTACTTTATGTACATATATTAAATGAATTGAAAAATGTTCGTCGTGACTAAGAGTTCGCGATTACATTGCCTAAAAACACTCAATATTTATCTCGGGTGGTATTATGATTTTAAAGAATGAAGAATATATAACAGATATCCCGGAACGTACATGAAGAGATTACATCCGTTTATAGCACTGGAAGAAATTATTAGCTTGCATTTGACCGTAATCTACAGCCATCGCGTAACTTAGCAAACACAATTTTTGCAGCCGTTTCAATGAGCTACTTGTAGAGCTTTACAACGATAAGATTTAATGTTACTTTTTTATGAAAACGGACAATACTCGCAACTCCTTTGTACATATATACATATGTGTCATTAGAACTGCATAATCTTTTTTTAGAATTGTCCTCTAATTGTACTTACAAGATATACATAATCTTCACTAGAAATATATCTGTTTCTTGGCTGTCACCATTTTATGTTTGACTACTTGTGTACATACGCGCGAGCAATCATTCACATTTTTACAATAAACATTGATGATAAGTATTTGAATGAAAAATTATCCATAATGTTTCACCGTTTCATACCCAATTATTGACTACTAGTCAATAAAGTAATTCATTATTTTGTATTTTGTTAATGTTTATTATTTTTATAATTCCCTGCAATATGAACTGCATCAAATCAATACATTGAAGTTACTTTGTTTCACAATAATATTTCATATGTTACTAGCTATTCAAACACACCTTATTCTCTACTACGATTAGTTTTAGTTTTTCTATTTAAGAATTGATATAGGTAATATATTCGCTTCTTTATGTCTCTCCACTTTGTTGGTCTGATGATAGGGAATATTCCTCTCTTCCACATTTTTTGTTTTCTTAATAATACTCGGTATTCGTTTCCTTGTACACCTCTCAACCAATACGGTACATTATATAAAATTTTGGTTGGGTGAAGATCACCCGATCCTAAAATATCTATATAATCGTTTTGACCAAACAATGCTCTCTTCTGATTCCAAACATCCTTCGGCCTGTACAAAGGTAACTGTATAATTCTTTGATCGCTTTCACGAGGTAAAAGTCCTCTCATATCGATAGGGTCTTGGTAACCGTAACGACGTTTAAGCTGACCTCGAGCTACTTTGTCCGCATGAAAGCGGAAGCGCACTGGCATTATTTGAGGAGTCCATACATTGATAGCTGTTCGCATTGTATTTAGAAACCACGACATGCTACAAAATTATAATAAATCATGACAAAAGAATATTTCATGTTACATGAAATTCATTGATAAACGTAACCGCACTTTTACATATTCTACGATACATGCTCAAAAGTAAAACATTTAAAACATGCATAGAACTTACGTTATAAAGAATATGTCGAATTTTGCCCTATTATACCATTCGTATTAATGATATATATTGAGACTAATGTATCATACAATATCTCTTAATTCACACGAGCCCTTAAAATGCGGTTCCATGAAGCTCACGGTCTACAGCTGAGGTTAGTTTCTTGCTACGCATTTATTTTCATTCTGATACGCACGAGAATTTCGTGATGATAACGAAAGTGTTTATGTTTCTTAAATATGTATTACAAATTAACAATTGCTACCGGTTAAAATTGTTTGTATTAATGTTGAAATTCTTTAAAAGTTTAAAGGGTCACAAGATATTTAGCGCCATCTTCAGTAACCGGTTTACCTAACAGTTTGAGCGTATTGCCACGGATGACGCCACCTATCAAAGTACTGTGATGGCAGAGGAATCTTCATTACCGATGATATTACGAAAAACATGTTTATCGATTATGATAATTCAGTTTATATATCAAGTGGGGGCGTTCTTTCTTATTTGACGTCGTGCTGTAACTTACTGGTACTTAGCAGGCTCGGTATAAACGCTAGGAGCGTCCAATAGTTTCGCCATCTATAATCGTCCGTTCGTCCATATTATTTTATTCATCTTAAAGCTATCTACTCCTTTTGCATAGTCACGTTTTACCGTGGATCTGTAAATTTGTGGGTCTTTGAACGTTTGCTGTAAACGAATATTATAAACAAATTATATTGTCATTAACGATCACGTTGTTTTATGTCAAATAAATATTGACACGGTGAAGTTGAAGAAATATGTTTAACCAAAGTGGTGGTTTGCGAACCGGCACAACAAACACGTCTAATCCAATGCAGGACTTTGAGGTTACCTCTCCTCCCGACGACTCTATTTCCAGTCTTGCATTTAGTCCTGCCTCTATTCCTCAAAATTTTTTAGTAGCTGGCTCTTGGGACTGCAATGTCCGTTGCTGGGAAGTCGAGCAATCTGGTAAAACAGTTCCTAAATCAATGCAGTCCATGGCTGAGCCAGTTCTTGATGTTTGTTGGAGCGACGTAAGTTCAACGATTGTTTTTAAATTGTTTAAAACTTTCTTTAAGTAAAATGTAATTCTCACTCTGAAATAGGATGGCACAAAAGTATTCATGGCGTCTTGCGACAAAACAGCAAAATGTTGGGATCTCGCATCAAATCAAAGTATACAAGTCGCAGCTCACGATGCACCCATCAAAAATTGTCATTGGATTAAAGCTAGTACATACTCGTGCCTTATGACAGGTTCTTGGGATAAAACATTAAGAGTATGTTCAAATTTATATATTATCAAACATTGTTTGTTACAAGTTCCATGTTATTACCTCTTTGATAATTATTTTTGTTTTAGTTTTGGGATTTGAGAAGTCCAAAGCCAGCCATGACTCTTAACTTAATAGAAAGATGTTATTGCGCGGATGTTGTAAGTATATATGATTCTTACTTCTTATCATTATTGGTGGTATCAATATGAATGCTTCTTTTTATTCTATTTTTTTTTATATAATTTAGGATTATCCAATGGCAGTTGTAGGAACTGCAGGACGTGGACTTATCGTTTATCAATTGGAGGGCAGCCCTAGGGAATTCAAAACAGTAGAATTAAATTTGAAATATCAATATAGATGTGTTGCAATTTTCAGGGACAAGAAAAAAGTGCCCACTGGTTTTGCAATAGGTAGTACGGAAGGTCGTGTTGCTATACATCACTTGAATTTAAGTTCAAAAGAGAATTTCACTTTTAAATGTCATAGAGTAAATGGAACACCCAATGGATATCAAGAGATTTATGCGGTTAGCAGCATTATAAAGTACATTGTAAGGAGTAGTAATTAAAGATAAAGTAACAATTCATTGTTCTTAATGCAGGTTAATGATATTGCATTTCATCCGGTTCATGGAACTGTTGCTACTGTTGGATCAGATGGTACTTTTGGATTTTGGGATAAAGATTCACGAACTAAATTGAAAGCTTCTGACCCTATGGAGCAACCTATCGCTAAATGTTGCTTTAATCACAATGGACAAATATTTGCTTATGCAGTATCGTATGATTGGTCAAAGGTAGTGTTTTTTGTTTAATAAAATAAACTACTAAAAATGAAAGCATACTTAACAAGTGATCAAGGATCAAAGGAAATTGATCGTTACATGAATGTTCATTCATAATGTTTACCAGTTTAAATTAATTTAATTTATTTACATAGTATTGTTGGTACTAAAGAAACATTGCTGGTATTATTTTGAATTAATATTGTTCTTAAAGTTGTATACAACATTTAACAGAAAAGAGATTAATTACAATATTGTTAATGTTTACAGGGTCACGAGTATTATAATCCGGCGAAGAAAAATTCCATATTCCTTAGACCGTGTTTTGAAGAATTAAAACCTAAAGCTACACCATAAGACAGCAGGAGTATTTTCTAATCTAGCTAAGATTTTTTTTTAAATTCTGATGTGTTTCAAGATACAGGTTTTTTAATAATTACATTTATAATAATAATAATATACTGTTTACATTAATAAATTACATACCTTTTCTATCTTTCAGTTTTAGGAGAAGCTTTCCAATTTTACTTCATTATATAGTAAACTGTAAATAGTTGTCATATATATGTGTGTATACATATTATATATATGCATATATATATATTTATATATATATACACAAATATATATATACATATGTGTATATACAATTGTAGTTTACATTTTCCTTGTGTATTTCTTTTTATTACTTTGTCACATAATCCCATTGTACAAAGTTATATATACATGCAAGAAGAGTCTTATTTTGTTTTTTTCTCTCATGGTTGTAAAAATGTAAAAAAATAATTCCTGTAAAAATTATTTTAAAGTAGTTCCAAATCAGGACAGAAATCAAAATGTTCTTTTCTGTTTATCTATCGTTTTCTTTTCTTTAAATAAATATTCCAATTTTAATATCTTAATCGAAACGAGTAAAACATGTTAACTTCCTATCGAAAAATGAGTTTCTGGGAATGCAATCTCCCGTTAGGTTCGACAATGTATTTATGAGAGTGAAATTTGGTTTAAAACTGTTCGAAATAAGAGAAATTTCGTCTTCTCGAAATAGAGACGCTGCCAAGAGCGATGATTCCGTTTGCTGTTTCTCGATGTTAAATATAATTGAAAAAATCAATGTTAAACGCTTTTTGATCTTTCAAGTTGGATCACGTAATTTTCTGTTAATCGAAGTCAGTTCCCTGAATATCTTTAACACTTGGTGAAAATATTTCAACATTTCACATTTTTATGCTCAGAAAGATGAACTGCATTTTGAACGGAAATCTACATCAATTAATAGGTATCTTTGTATATTTAAAAAAAAACGCAATTGATTTATAAGAAATACAACATTTAGTTTATTCTGCGAATTCCTAAGCAGTTAATTCCCTAACAATATCGCGAAAACTTTCCAATGTGGATCTATGCTTTCCTCTCGACCTCTTTTACGCCCTCTCTCTCACTCTCTCTCACTCTCCCTTTCTTTCT